CATAAAAAAATGTACTTAATCAGCCTATTTTTGTTGTATTTGGCCTTCAAAGGCGGATAGGCTAAAAATTATTGAAACATGATTAAAGCATTAAAAATTATTTTATCGCCTTTTTATCATTGTTATGGTAAATTAAACTTAAAAATGTAATTGCACGGAAAAAGTACGCCTCTGCATCTACTGTTTTTTCTTGTAGCTTTTCCATACATCTACTGATTATTTCAATAATACCTTGCAACACTGGTCAGGGTTAACAATGGCGCGAGTGATATTTTTGGTATCGCAAGAGAGGGTGCGGCCAGAGTGCACTCAGATTCAGAGTCAGATTCAGATTCTGAAAACAAGCGCGAGAAATAAACAGTGTAGTCTAAGCAGGTTGCCTGGTTTTTCTCGCGCTTTGTTTTCTGAGTCTGAATCTGAATCTGAATCAGGAGTGCAATCTGGCCGTACCCTTCGACTACACTGTTTATTTCTCGCGCTTGATTTCGAAATCTGAATCTGAATCTGAATCTGAGTGCACTCTGGCCGCACCCTCCAGAGTGCACTCAGATTCAGATTCAGATTCAGACTCAGAAAACAAGCGCGAGAAATATAGGGTGCGGCCAGAGTGCACTCAGATTCAGAGTCAGATTCAGATTCTGAAAACAAGCGCGAGAAATAAACAGCGTAGTCTAAGCAGGTTGCCTGCTTTTTCTCGCGCTTTGTTTTCTGAGTCTGAATCTGAATCTGAATCAGGAGTGCAATCTGGCCGTACCCTTCGACTACACTGTTTATTTCTCGCGCTTGTTTTCAGAATCTGAATCTGACTCTGAATCTGAGTGCACTCTGGCCGCACCCATACAGTGTAGTTTAAGCAGGTTGCCTGCGGCCACTATGGCCACCCTGCTTTAATTACACTGTTTATTTCTCGCGCTTGTTTTCGGAATCTGAATCTGAATCTGAATCTGAGTGCACTCTGGCCGTACCCTATGGCTTGTGGTGGCCGCTTACCATCAGGTGGTCCTCCCTTTTAAAAAAAACATAAATTTATATTTGGGTGGCAGTTGCGGTTGCGTTATCAATCATGTATATTTTGAATTTAAATGATTTTTGTAGGCTGAAATGAATTGCTTCGCTTTGTTTTGCATTGCTTTGCTTGCTGTTCTAAGGGTACGGCCAGAGTACACTCAGATTCAGATTCAGATTCCGAAAACAAGCGCGAGAAATAAACAGTGTAGTCGAAGGGTACGGCCAGAGTGCACTCAGATTCAGATTCAGACTCAGAAAACAAGCGCGAGAAAAAGCAGGCAACCTGCTTAGGGTGCGGCCAGAGTGCACTCAGATTCAGATTCAGATTCAGATTCTGAAAACAAGCGCGAGAAATAAACAGTGTAGTTTAAGCAGGGTGGCCGTAGGGTGCGGCCAGAGTGCACTCAGATTCAGATTCAGATTCCGAAAACAAGCGCGAGAAATAAACAGTGTAGTCGAAGGGTACGGCCAGAGTGCACTCCTGATTCAGATTCAGATTCAGACTCAGAAAACAAAGCGCGAGAAAAAGCAGGCAACCTGACTACACTGTTTATTTCTCGCGCTTGTTTTCAGAATCTGAATCTGAGTGCACTCTGGCCGCACCCTAATGTTGTGTTTTTTGCTGTTTTTGATTGACTTTTTTATCTTAATTTTTTGTTACTTGAAAGCAAAGGATGTTAAGTCCATACATCCTTTCAAGGAATATTTTTCCTACATGTCTTTTTTTGTGTCACTAAACAGGCCCTGCCAGAATAACAGCGCTGGTGCGACACAATGTCGCATCAGCTAATGCTGAGGCAGGGTCCTGGTTAGCCCTGAGTTTTTTTTTAATTTGTATCTGTAAATGTGTAATATCTGTAATATGAGGGTTAATAAAATTATATTCTATTCTATTCTAGGGTATTTTGCTATTATGTGAACAAAAAATCGTTACCTTTCTTACAATAAAATCTTCAGTATCGTTGCTTCAATAAAGAAATTCAACAGAAAGTAATTTTATTGACAACCTTCTTGGCCGAGTGGTGTGTCGCCTACTCGAGAGGCCCCGGATTCGAATCCCGGTGGGGGCAGATGTTTGTGTGATGATTTCGAGCATTTGTACTACAGGGGGCCTTAGGGCAGTCAGGGGGTCAGGGGCCCCCTCGACTTCACCTCACACACACCGCGGAACGTGACACTATTTCGTGCATGCAGCCGGTGTTCATCGATTCATAAGACGATATAAAGTCAAAAAAACTGACAAAATTATTAATAACGTTATAATTTCAAATACATTTCGATTACATCTTCATAATATAACAGTATTAACAATTAAATAGTCATATTCAAGAGTAGAATATAAAGTTTTTACCTTATTAAGCAGGTATGTACTTACTTAAATAATATTTGGTTACTACTTCAATATACATTACAAGTTGTGCATATTATAGTGGATTATCTAAATCTATCAACTTTTAAATAACTAGGTACACCGTGAATCCACCCGATTGAGTCTCATTTAAATTAATATTTTAGTCGTTATTTTGACACATTTTCTCAAGACTTATTTGTATAGTACATTTAAGAAAATACACTTCTTGTTACAAGCTTTTCGGGAACAGAATATGATTCTAGATAATTCTGGTATGTATAACCTTTTATTCCAGTAATAGTATTTAATTTTAAGTTCTGGCAACATTAAATGGTTGAATGTTTTTTTTTAATACTGTTAATGTGAAAACAGTTTCATTTAAAAAATAATGTTTTAAATAATTATAATATATAATACCATCATATAAGAAACAGCTCCCTCTTACTTAAAAAAAATCACAATCTTAAAGAAATTAATTTATATTAATGAATGTTTATTGGTTAACAAAATATAACATAGCGCATATAGGGTTGCTGCTTGGATCTGACAAAATCTTAAATTAATCATCAACCTACAGAAAGTTTTCTCATAGAAATTCATATTATTTTAATTATTAAGGCGGATTATCTAATAGTAACTATAATAATTACTAATATTAAATTGACTAGGCAAATTAGCAATTTTGATACAGACTAATAGTACCGTGCTTATAGTAGTTATCGATTCTGGCGTGATTCTCTAAACTTAAAACAAAATTTAACATCATTTTTCATTCTGTATAGAGTATGACATGGATACACTGTAGTAAAATTTAAGTTTAGATTTAAAGAATCGTGCCAGAATCGACATATAAATATACCCAATAATATACAATAAATATCTATGCCTCGTATCTTGCGTGACGTGACAATTCTATTTCGCAAATTTTTACTGAATCTCAGTGAATATGTTTGTAGGCTTTTATTAATTGTTTATTATGAAACATGACATTATCAGGAATTTGTCGCGTATTTAATACAAGTACTAGGTATTAATTTTATTAATGTCATCAAAAACGTTAGAATTTTCCTATAAAAGTTTTATTAGAAATATTTTAATAGTTGTTTGTTAAAATCATGGAAAATTGAGTTTATTGAAAACTATAGCTATTAACGGAATTGTTACGGTGCGGGTAGATTGTTAATGGCAGACTTATCGGTCTACCCTCTGACGTCGTCTTTTACCACAGGTCACATTCTCACTATTCACTCGCACCTGTTTCCGACACACAATACTCACAGTATCAGACCGCGGGACGACACTTTTTTGATTTCTGCGGTTTTTACACATACGAACTACTGGATTCCAGACACTTGAAAATTTCAACCCATCCTCACCATTGAAATTCTTGTGTTTGGTTATTTCAATCGCTTCCTTGACCAATCTTGGTATGTATTTGCGTTCTGTTGAGATAATTTGTGGATTATGGAGCTCAATCCAGTGATTAGGACCTGAATCAATTAAATGTTCCGCGATGGCTGATTTTTGCGTGTCATTATTTCTGACTGCTTTTATGTGTTCTTTCATTCGGCACGCTTCGTTTGGCCACTATACGAACTACCACAATTAATACCGAAATATCGGAGACTCATAAAAAACAAAGTAGAAACTGTGAAAAACGGAACTAACAGTAAGATTTTTATTTGGCAATCAAACCCAGCAATCTGTAAAACGTCAAAGTTTTGTATTGATACAGATTTGTTTGTTGTTGTGATTTCTTGCGGATTTTTGTATTTAATCATGTCTGAAAGGGGTAAAACCTTACAAATACGATAGAAAAGCACTACAGCGCCTTCCAATCTAAATCCCATTCTCTTTCCGCACAGACTCTACATGGTAACAATCCCGTTAATAGCTATAATGTTAGTGACCATGAAAGTTTAAAACAATATACACATATTATTGAAAACTTTTTACAGAATAGGCAGGCATCAATAATAATTACATGAATATAAAAAAGAACTATTGTTTGTAACTATAAAATTTAGTAAATAGTAAAACTCCGATTTCCAAAAGTAATTCATATAGAAATCGAATGAGTAAATAGTTAGTAAACGTATTTAACTATTTAAATAAGTACAAAATGGTAGTGGTTTTATTTTTAATTCAGTTAATATTGTCGCGAATTTAAAATACCTTGTTAATTAATTGTTTGATTTTACAAAATCATTACGAGGTGTTCAGGGGCAGTTGTATGAGTCATATCTTATACTATAGAAAATATTATTAAATCAAGCTAGACATTTTTCATAAGTCGATTTTATTAGACGTAAATTTTGTTTCCCATTCAATTTAATAGATGTTACTTGGTCGCCAAATTGTTAATATTTTTATTCCAAGTAATATTATGTCTATATGTGTGGGTACCTACTAAATATGTCTAATTTATAATAAATCAATTGTCACTACGAATATAGTTTTGAATGTAACTAATCCAATTCAATATTTTGATACCTAACGAGCTTTTAACAAAATTCTCTAAACATTTAAAATAAATCTTTAACTTTCTCAATCTTAAAAAGACCTTCAAAATATTCTGATTGTGAAATGTTACAGAGTAGATATTTAGGCGTAATTAAGTAAATTGTGTTACATTACTACTGCATGTATATAATGTCATTTTCTTATATTCCTAGGTGGTAAAACTCTACGCCATACAGCCTCCCTAACATGCGCACTGCGCTAAACGCTAACGCGTTGTTATCACGCGTAATTGTCGAATTACTATGGAATTTGACAGTTAGACGCGATAAAAACGTGATAAAGTGTAAATTGTGGTGCTTGTGGTACGCAACTGGCGACTGGAGATTCTACATCTCTCAGCCATCTCATAGGCCAAACAGATAGGTATCGAAATCAAACTTAAGTATGTATTTACTTCACTTTTAATACCTACGCTCAGCGTTAGCGCTAGGATTAGGGTTGCCACCATTTTTAGGGTGAATAAAGTATTTTTTCGTTTTTAATAGAATAAAAATAAAGTGCCCAGTATAAAATAGAGTTTTTTTTTTGGTCATTTGTTCTGACAACAAATTATTTAATAAAAGTAAATAAGAGTATTTTAGCTTTATTGGTGTCGAAGATTATAAAGTACGCCTACATGGAAAAGAGGACAAAACTGTATTTTAGAGTAGGTACCTACGTCTTTTCGAAACTGTTACTTCTAAAAATATGGTAGATGACAAAAAATGGAAAAAATATATGACTGTGCTTAGAATGTTTCATTTTTGAAAGGAATACCTAAATCTTAAGCAGGACGCATTACATTTTTTATTGTTAGTAACCGGACCTTACCTTACTTGTTGGTAAGGTCCGGTTAATAACAATATTAACCGGACCTTACCAACAAGCATCAGCGGCTCAGTGGTAAAAAACTCGCCTGCTGATTCGCGATTCGCAGCCGAGATAACACTTTTTTGAAGTGGTAACTTCTCATGGGAGGGTAAACCGCTTCGTTACGTAACGCGTTACGGCGCCATTCTGTCTGGCTTCCCTACCTCTCACGCATACGGTAGCGGTAGGCAGGCTCCTTCTCTCTCACTCTAACCCGCAACTCCGCTTAGATTAGTTTAAGTTATCACATCTTCTGCGGCTCAAGACACACACGCTTTTTTTTATTAATGATTTTTAATATCTTTGCCTACTCCTATACCTATCTGTTTTATGACCACATCTTCTACGCCATACTAGAGGTGCTGCATCTTTCAGCCATCTCATCACGCCGTTGCTCATACTTCTTGAGGGGCTGAATGAAGGAGATCAGCACTCCTGATACGATGATCCAACCTCCCGCCAGGTAGAACGCCAGCTCCCAAGACGACGTCAGGTCGTAAATCAAGCCTGGAATGTTTGATAAACCTGGGTTAGATATAAAGGATTTAAAATAATAGCAAACATTTGTGACGGAAAAAATATAAGTAAGGAGTTAGCGCGTTCGGCTGCGATCGTTGAAGTTAAGCAACTTTCGCAGTGGTCGGTCATTGGATGATTGACCAAAAATCTTCTATCTCGAGTTCCTCCGTGCTTCCGGAGGCACGTGAAGCCGTTGGTCCCGGCTGCATCTGCAGTCGTAAGCACCCGCCAATTCGCACTGGGCCCGCCTGGTGGGTCATTTTCCAATCTCCCTATTCCATCTATAGGGAAGGACTGTGTCCCCAGCAGTGGGGACATTAATGGGCTGATGATGATGATGAAGCTGAGACCCAATCACGAATTTTGCCAGATCCATAATCGTATCGCATCGTCAGTTTCTATAAAAACTAAAAATTTAAGAAAAAACTGACTAATACCATACAAATTGTGACGTTTAATTGGAAAAAGTGAAAAGCTTTTTGTTTGTTAAATTTTGAAAGTTTTCGTGCATTAGGCGTAGATAGGAGAAATTGCTCGAGTCGTCCAGGATTCAAATTGCCACAAATTAATTAGGTTAGAAGCTGGTTCTACAGTATTATTCCCCAGTAAAAAAACAGTTAACAATTCAGTAGTTCAATTAAAACACGTGGAAATAAAAGTATAAATATATATAAAAGGTAACTTTCCCGAAAATTGACGCAAAATGTACCTACGTATTGCCGTCTATAAAATGTACTACCATTTTCTTTTACACCGAGTCCAATGTAAGAAAAGTATTATCAACATTACTCAATACGAAGAGGTAATTAACAAACTCGAGTCTCTACAATTAGGCCGTGATGTGGCCTCATTATGCTCATTCTACCGACTATACCATGGCGAGTGTTCTGAGGAGTTATTCTCCCTTATCCTTCCACCACCTTTTCTTCAGAGGACCACGCGCGCTGGCCTACGTTGTCACCTACTCACTGTGGGCACTATTCCTACACTAACAAAGAAATTTGTTGACTCATTTCTTTGTCGTACTATTAGTAAGTGAAATTCTTTGCCTGCGCGCATGTTCCCTCCTTCCTACAATCTGGGGTCCTTTAAGAGAGGCGTGAAGAAGCATTTTTGCAGGCCGGCAAGGTGAGGATGGTTTGTGTAGCAATTTAAAACTGCTGTACCAGCTATCCTCGCGTTTGGACTTTATCACCACTTAACATCAGGTGGGGTAGAGTCATTTGCCTACATGGCTATAAAAAAAAACTCATTAAAAGAGATTTTAGTTAGAATTGTTACACACCTGACAGTGGCGGCCCGATCAGATGTCCAATACCTTGAGCCAGCAGCACCAGACCGTAAGCTGTGGTGAAGTCTTCCAAGGACACGAGTTTCACCAGTAAACTCGGTGTGAAAGTGAAGGAGGCCGCAAAGAGTAGCCCGAATGCCGAAGACACAGCGGCCAGAAGCCAATAGTTGGTCGCTGCTATTGGTATCAACGCAACTGAAGCGCCACACAAAACTAAGCAGATAGCGTACAAAGGACCAATTGACACTTTAGGGAAATCCCCTATCCAGCCGAGGCCGACCTGGAAAAGAAAAAGTATACTTACACTACATATCGCAAAACAAAATCCCGCCACACGTCTGTTAGTGTGTTTGGGATAATTTCAAATATTACTGAACTGGTTTTCATATTCACCACAGAACATATAGACGAGGAGGTTCTTTCTGTGTTACGTCGTTTTCACAAAGTTAGTCAACCTTTTACACAAAGGAAAATATATCCTAAATCATTGTCGGAATTCGCTAGTTTTTCTCAGGGAACTCAAAATTCATGGTGTAATTAATACAAAGAACTATGTCGAAGAGAAGCGAGGGTGGGTAAATTTAAAAAAATATGTTCACTCTTATCAGGGTACGGTAGTTCCCAAGCGCGAACTTGACAGTACAGTACCCTTAGCACGAACTAATATCGAATTCGAATAGTTTGCGAGTGTACTGATTTTTGTTCTCGTTACGTCCTTTGTGGCGCTGCTGTTCGTGTTCATACAAATTTTGACAATGACATTTTGGACTCCCAAACTATTCGAATTCAACATTGGTTCGTGCTAAGGGTACCGTATTCATGTTGTCAGCGTCAAAGTTTTTATGGAAATTAAGCAGTGCCCCCATAGGACGGAAGAAAAAACTAGTCTTTTCCATAGAAAATTCGAAATGACGTTACGATTACTCGATATGACAATACCTACGAATACTTTGTCGCTAGTAGCTCGTGCTTGGAGTACTGATTCTGCAAAGTCAACAATTCAACATAATAATCATATCTTTTTGATTTTGCATTTAAATTTTTCGCAGTGCGGTTTTCGCTTTCAAGATACGCAACAACAAATATGTTCGCTCAGTTGTAGTAAGTACCTACCTACTTGTTGTGTTTACACGCATTTCGTAATTTGTGTTTTGGCAACAAGAAATGTGTTTAAAAACTATACCTGTGATACACAACTGTTACGTTAACCGATACGCAGGCTAATCACAAACACATTATAGATTTTATAAAGTTTTCAGAAATATAGAGGAGATTTTACTAGAAACAGGGTCCTAAGAGAGGCGTGAAGAAGCATTTTTACAGGCCGGCAAGGTGAGGATGGTTGGTGTAACAGTTTATAACTGGTGTACATCATATACATCAGGTAGGGTCATTTGCCTACCTGGCTATACAAAAACTGTATTTGAATCACCGCTTTTTGGTATCTACATGGACAATATAACTATGGCAGTAAAAAACTTACAAAAATAATGCACTTTACCGAATTCTATGTTACTCTAATCGATGAAAAGAAATAACTGTGATTCTTTTCGCTGAATTCATCTATGTCTTGAGACACCATCAGATAGTATCTGTTAAAAACAAACAGTGGACTACTATACGATTTACGTATTCAAATTTAGATTTTCAAACGGAATTTGGCACAGAAACGATTCCCGTCGCCAAACATTTGGAAACTGGATAAGTATTATCTATTTCTGGATGTTGCCTTGGTTATCTTACCCACCATGCATTAGTCATAAGGTGAACCTTCACATTCGCTCTACTTATACAAAGGAAACCTTACATTCGAGACATCATTGCGAAATGTACGTATGTATATTCCTTTTAGGCTTTTAGGTGAAGTTTAGGTGAAGTTTAGGTCGAACATAAGTAATAATTATTTAATTTAAGAGTTCTCTCTCTTAGCTAAAGAACCTCTCCCTTAGAATAAAACATTTTCTTTCTTTCAATCATTTCTTTCTTTAGACATGGTCTATACAAACATTCACAAATTTGGGTTTACTAACTGCATACATTCATACGAGTTTTTTTAGTTAGTAACAAATATTAAAATATTTTATACATTTCCCGATATTTCGGGTGCATTTCATGCTACGATCTACGAAACGAGAAAACATAAGAAATAAATAAATTAGTAGCATTTGTTGAAATTTATGCATTTAAAATTAATTATGAGTATTAATAATGACTTTCTCACCATTCCGATTGTATTTGTGATTCCAATCAAACTGAGCATAAAAGCGCCATCGTCTTCGCTAAAACCCTTGTGGATCATGTGCTCGGCCAGGTAAAAGTAAGGCACGATGAACCAGATGAACAAAATAATAGTCCCGAGACACATGCAGTTGAAGGTCATCTTCTTACATAGATTCACATTGAACATGTCAGAAAGACAAGTGACGCAATCATCGTACCAGTTCTGTAAGAAAATTTTAAAACATAATTAGGCGATTGCAAGAACAATCAGATACATAATTTGAAAGAGGCGCAATTGGTATAAGACAAATAATTCCAGAATTTGATTTTAACAAAGTCAACTTACTTCTTCTTTTTCAACAATAGTTATCATTGAGTTCTTAAATATATCGGGACACGAAGATGCTTTCAATCTATATCGTTTTATGTTCAACATAGCATTTCTATGGCTTATAGAATTTAGAGGCATTTTCAAATCTTTCAAATAATGGTGATTCACAGAGAGCTGTTTCTTCAACCAGTCTCGCTTGTTCTCCTTGCTGTCTTGCTTCACCAACTCTTTATCTTCTCTCGATTCAGATTTAGATTTTCTGAATACAAAATTTGTTTTAGCATTCTTCAATTGATAATCTTCAAATGGATGTTTCTCGTTAGTCTCTTCATATTTTTCGGATCGAGTACGTGTAAGTAATTGCTTTGGTATTATAACCGGCAGTTCGTTGTTTCCCTTTGAAGTGACAGGGCATTTCCTGGGCTTATTGTATTCAGTAATAGCGAACTTTGGATATTTTATTTCGATATCGTACTCCTTACTCGTTGATTTTATTAGAGCATCTAGCATTGAGAGGGAGACCTGAAAATTATGATGAATTTGTTAATGCTATAATATAATTAAACGAAAGTATGCTTAAAGAAAAAATAACAACAAAAGTAATTACCTTATCGCTATAAGTCAAATAAGAAGGCAAATCCACTACTGATTGGGATCTTTTCTTCATAGATCGTTTATTTTTCAATAATAACAGATTCTGATGGCGCCTTATGCTGGCAGCCTCCTGACTTATTACTTTCTGTGGTTTTACACCTTTTTTGATCAAACCATCCATAACCTTTCCTCTTGTCGGTACATCAAAATCTAATACATATGGATTGGAAATAGACGCGTAGCTAGAATTTTTCGATTTTTCGTCATCCTTAATAAGTTTCTCGTCACTGTTATTCTGTTTCTTCTGTTCCAAAATCCACCATTCTGGATCCCGCATCACACAACCACAAACGCACAAATTCAGAAGTGTACCAGAAAGCAAAAGTATAGTTCCTCTCCAGCCGTATTCTTCTATAAAATACTGAGTCATGGGAGCATATACAAAAGTGCCAACACCAGTTCCACAGGCTCCTAAACCAACTGCTAAGTTTCTTTTCTTTTCAAACCAGTAAGCAATTGACACAACTGCAGTCACGTATACCAATCCTAGTCCCAAGCCAGCGATAACTCCGAAAGTGATCATCATCATCTCCAAAGTAGTCGAAACTGAAGCCAGAATAAATCCAAGCGTAGAAATAAGTCCCCCCAAGATAGTCATACTGCGGCATCCATATCTATCGACAAGTGCACTCATCACAGGTCCAGAGAGAAGCGGCACGGCTATGAATAAACTGCCGATCCAAGCTGTAGTAGATTTGCTGGCTTGAAACTCTTCTAAGAATTCAATGTAAAGCAAACCAAAAGAAAAACTTATACCATCCGCTATCATGGAAATAATGAATGATGACATAACAACAACCCATCCCCAACCACCATCTGGTATACCTACTTTCATTTCTTTTTCAGATATATCTGTCTCTTCTTCAACATCACACTCAGAATCGTCATCTGGAGCCATATTTGTTTTCCTTTTACTATCAAAAAGGAGTGTTAATTCTTTTTCATTTTTTATATTTGTATTATCTTGTGGTCGTTGTTGAACTTGGTCTTTTGTGCTGAACTCTAGATCAGGGCTGGAGAACGAAGCAGTTCCATTGCTGGTAGTGTCATCTTCTTCCCCTTTAACAATACCAGATGTAGAATCAGACAGTAGAGAAGCCCTGACTGCCCCATCTCTGACTTCTTTAATCCTTGGTGTCCTGGTACATCTGATCACTACATTGGGCTGTTCCCACTCTAAGTCCATTATTATCTAAGGTGTGTAATACCAAATAATACTGAGGTTGTTGAGTGGTGGATGAGGAATTATCTTAATCTCGGATCTCTGGCGGAGTAGCGGCTCGCCTGGCGGGCCACGCTGTTGAGTTTGAGGGTGTTAGGCTTGTTTTGGCTGAGGACCATCAAGGCTGTGGTCAGTACACTCGGTGCAGTCGTATTGTCTCCCATACAAGCGTGTTGGCTTGTGTCGCAGCGACTGCGACACCGTTTAGTCGCTCTATTATCGCTGCGTTTGGTCCACCCTTCGAAGTGGTACAACTTATCTGGAAATTAAAGAGGTTTTCAGTCTGTTTTACACTATAACGTATGTTTTTCAAAGAAAACTATGCACAAGTTAGCAAAAAGGAAATAGGTAGTAAGTACATTTTCTCAAAGATGCTTGGAAAGAGCATTATTTTGACAACCTTCTTCACGAAAAATCGAAATTGCAGTACTGGCCAATTATATGAGCGCAGCGGCCGGCAAAAGTTGTTTGAAAATCCATATGTGTCGTGGTTTGCAGCCAAATAAATTATTAAACCTATATCCGTCATATTACTTAATCTAAACTTATATCTTTAAATATAAAAAAAGTCGTGTTAGTTAGAAAAAACTTATAACTTTCCTCTCGCTTTCGTTCAATTTGTGGGAGTGATAACGTGAAGTGGGACGGAAGTGCGTAACAGGATTTGATTTTAGAACATAATGTTCTAATGGCTTATTCCTTTTGTAGTAGGTTTTAATTCTGGTTTTACTAATATAAGGTGAGGTTTCAAATGTTACACATCATACGCGACTACTGTAAGGCTCGCTCGTTTTTTTTTTTCAATAAAATCGGTTCAGCAAACCACGACATATGTCGTGGTGTGCAGCCAAATAAATTATTAAACTTATATCCGTCACATAATCTTTAAATATAAAACAAAGTCATGTTAGTTACAAAACTTTTAACTTTAGAACAGCTGAACCGATTTTATGAGCACAATTTTTTTAGTTTCCTCTCCGCCCTGAATAGCAGAATAACTAATCAAATTTAGGAGAAATCACTAAAAAAAATAAAGCAAATAAGAAGTTTTGAAATAGATTACGTTTGTTACTCCGCCATCTTTTGCAAATGACTGCCAAATTCACACATGTGTATTGCCTATTTGTATTGAGATTCACTTCGTGGATTCACTGCGAATCATTCATTAAAATAATAAATAATCTAAAATATAAATTATTTAACCAAAATTTCACGGCATATATTGATGAGAGAGAAATTATGCTGATGTTTTTGCAAGAAGGCGATGGAGAGCAATCACCTTTGTTGAATGAGGTAGGGATAAGGAATTTATATTCTTGTACCTGAATTTTATCTTACTCCGATTCGCTTAATTAAAAAAAACGACGGGTTGCATTTAGGGAGTGCCGGCAGAAGTGAAAACTTGAATATTAACGTTGTGCATTTTAACCATTTTGGTATAGTTGGGGAATACTATGCACGAATTGCTTTAATTATCAGTATAAAAGTAATATCATATATGTAGTACAATACAATATTTATTTATTGCGCTATCGTACACAAACATGACAATTTGTATTACATTAAAAAAGTTTATCTCTCAGAAAAATCAACTTACATGAATCACGTTTAAGCGCACTTAGCGACATCTATTATAAAAAAACCAACTAACATGAATCACATTTAAGCGCACCTAGCGACATCTATTGTAAAAAAAATGCACTTTCTTCGCAATAAAGCTGCCACGTGGACGTCCTAGATAGAGACTTATTATTATAATACGGTAAAACAAAATTTTACTATGTTTCGTCCAATATATTGAAAGTCAACAACCTTCCCAATTTTATTGTGTGTCATGATGCGTTCAGCCCACGTGTTTAACCTGATGCGAATTTAACATTTTTTACCCATACAAAAAAAAGTGTAGGTACAACGCCGCTAAAGAAATTTTCACTACAAAAACACTATTGTACTTTCAATCCTAATCCGAAAAAGCGAATTGTGGTTATGAACCACAATGTAAGCGGATTACTTCTGAGCCGCGAGTTCCGTATCTTTCCTTTTTGTTTTAATCTAAGTAACATACGTCATTAGTCATCACTAAATATTTTCACATTATATTCTTTAAAACTACTCACTTACGAAGAAAATGATACGTTTTCTTGTCTCTAATAGTTCTCGTGTAATTAATATATAATACACATATAGCTACACAATACAGATATGGCTTTTTGTCTAGAAAAACGTAAAATAAATTACACGTTGTAACGAAGTGCAGCCGCGAAGTCCGGCGCGGCGCGAAAGCGTGCCCTCGGGCTGAATGCAAATCGGGCAATTTCCTGATTTTCGTATTGCCAAACTAGAAGCGCATATGACGTCTCCATAACTAAAAAACATCAAAGCTTCAAAACAATAACAACAAAACAATAAAATAAATGTGTAATTTATAGTCGGCTAGATTCGGTAATATTCGTCCGCCATCGTCGCGCACGGTTTTTTGGCAATTGCACCGTGCATTTTGTCAGTGTCTACTGCGCGGTTTATTTAAAAGTTAGGTCGTAAGGCCCCGTTTACACTTTGATTAGTAATTAGGCGAGTTCATACATGTTCTGCGTGATTTCCAGATATTAATATACTCATATATCTTCCTAGGTGTGCCCATTTCGCCGGGTCAGCTAGTTTATAAATGAAACAATCTTTTACTCCGAAACAACGATATTATCTATGTATATAAAACTCAAAGGTGACTGACTGACAAAGTGATCTACCAACGCACAGCCCAAACCCCTGGACGGATCGGTCTGAAATTTGGCATACAGGGTAGATGTTATGACGTAGGCATCCGCTAAGAAAGGATTTTGATCAATTCTATCCCCAAGGGGATAAATAGGGAAAGAAAGTTTGTATGAAACTTTGTCAATTTTAAACCGATCGGGCTGAGACTTTGCATGCAGGTATAAGAAGAATCATAGATGAATGTCATTGTGTATAATACAAGCCTGAGAACAAAAACTGTAGTTTACATTATACTTCAGCTCTACACCGTAGCGAAGCGAGGGCGGGCCGCTAGTTACAGTATATTAATATCGTTGCAGGTAACTTAACAAAGCTTTTATTTAAATTTCAAACAGGTTTGCATATAGGTAGAAAGCTGTTTATTGAAAAAAAACAAATGAAGACTTTAACAAGGCTATTGTTGTTCCTTAAGTAATAATTTCCGCGCATTATTTGAGAAAAGTACTATACAAGCATTGGCCACAATTAGGCATTGATGGACTTACGTAAGAGTGTTTTTATTTACACTTTCATCCATCAATGTCTCTTTTGCTAGCCGCTGCAGTAATATACTTTAAGTTAAGAGCTCAGGGACTATTGTACAATTACGAGCTATTACTAACACACTTGATGTTAATTAGTGTAAGTGGAGTTTAGACGCAAAGATTTAAGTGCCGAGATAAGAACCCCACTGGCAAGGCTGCCTGCAAAAAACTTCTTTACACTATGCCCCTTTTTTATGATAAAAGGGTAGAAAGAAGCATATGGTCCGCCTGATAGTAATAATAATAATAAATAAATATTTCCAACACTCACACCAATTAGCCTAGCCCCAAAGTAAGCACTGTACGGCTTGTGTTATGGGATACTAGGGTAACGGATAGAATACACATACTTTACATATATAAGTATATTTATATAGAAATACATATTTAAACATCCATGACTGGAGTACAAATACTCGTGTTCATCACACAAACATCTACCCCCACCGGGATCTGAACCCGGGACCTCTCGAGTCGGCGACACCATGAAACCCGGCGTACAAACCACTCGGCCACGGAGGTGGTCACCATAAGCGACCACCTTGCCATATAAAAAATAACACACCCCATGGAGCCCTTAGTACTTTATTCACCGACACCCACACACAACACTACCGAAAGATAATGTTATTTTACTGTGATCTATTGAAAGAAAGAAAGTAAGAAAAATAAATTTATTTGAGACAAAACAACAGTAAAATATACATATATATATATATATATATATATATATATATATATATATATATATATATATATATATATATATCTTTATATATATAATTCTTCTGTGAGTGTGTATGTCACTGAACTTCTCTTAAACGACTGGACCGATTTTGATGAAATTTTTTGTGTGTGTTCAAGGGGATCTGAGAATGGTTTAGATTCACAATTTTGTCCGCTGGACAACCCCTATTTTTTTAGGGCGGTACGAAGTTCGCTGGGTCAGCTAGTATATATATATAAACAAAACACACATAATTTTTTGTCTCAAATCGCTCCCAACTCAGCATGTGCTGATGTTGCCATCAGCGCTGGTCTTCCGTTGGAACCGGTTTAGTGACGACACGAAACAATAACATTAACAAGTAATAAAATAAACATAACAAAATAAAAACAACAACAATGTTAGTTTTGCAAGATGGAGGTTACTTCCCCAGCCGGGCGTTCCAACTTGAGAGGAAAATCCGCTATGCTCTACCGCTTTAAGCTTATAAGCAAGCGCTGGCATAGTTGCCAAATATCTACCAATTTTCCGGAAGATCTGCCGATATTTGTAAATCTTCTAATTTGGGCTCAAATTGAAAACGAACGATGGCAGTTCGCAGTGGGAGGAATCATCATCATCATCAACAGCCTATCTTAGTTCACTGCTGAACATAGGCCTCTCCAAATGCACGCCACTCAGATCGATCTTGCGCTACTCGCATCCAGCTCCTGCCTTGCGCAAATCGTCACTCCATCGCACCTGAGGACGTCCTACACCTTGCCTAGACGCGGTCTCCACTCCAGAACTCGTCTACCCCAACGGTTATCGGTTCTAATATTTCACATTTTTGAAAAGTCGCCAGTTTCTTTTGCGGAGTGGGTGTTTGTTAAAGTGGTTGCGGCGATTGTATTCATATTTACGCCATGAATTCTCCCGGATGTTTTCCAGTAAGTGCAACTCCCGTGTTGCAAAATATGCAACTAGAAACACTGTTAGGGGTTTATTGATGTTGTTTTTGTTTTCTTATCAACTAGTTATTTACAATCTCCTCCATGCTTCGGAAGGCACGTTAAGCCGTTGGTCCCGGCTGCATCTGCAGTCGTTATCACCCGCGTGGTGAGTCATGGCCCTAATCTCTCTATTCCATCCATAGGAAAGGCCTGTGCTCCAGCAGTGGGGGCATTAATAGGATGATGATGATGATAGATGAAATAAATAAGTAACAAAATAAATGGGGTTGCCATGATGATG